GTCTTTGTCCACTAAGTCTAACATCTGGGCCCTCTTACGCACAGTTTCTGTTGTGTGCTGTCTGCTTTTTCCCGTGTACGGATTCCATGTTCTTGTTCTCTTGCACATATCATAGCTTTCTCTTAACAACAGGACACTGTAGATGTTACAGCACTTCTGGGTGCTGATCCTCCTTACCCACTGCACATCACCCCTTCCCCCCTGGCTTCTCATTTGTGTTTATTTCCATATTGATTTAGCAAGAATAATTCAGTGAAGTCTATTCCCCTGCGGTACACCTCTGCTGTCACTCCTCAGAGGCCACAGCCTTGAGCTATGAGTGACATTCCTATTTTTCCTTTGTTAAACTACAAAATTCTTCCAGACAGCTCCCTTTCACTGCCTCTTTGCCTGATCTCTGTTAAGTTTCTGGCTGCTGTGTCTCTGTTGTTTTCACTTCCAGCTGTTAGCCTCCACCAATCTTCAATTGTTTGCGCTATTATTTTTTGCCCTGGAGCATAAATTGTCCCCACAGTCTGCTCTGATTGTGGTTGGGCCCGTTCATAGGAGTGCTCTTTCAGGCAGCCCTGAGGCCTGCTCTGACTCCAGCAGGACTCCTTCTGGCTGTCCCTTTCCCTGCCCTCTCTGCTAAGCTTTCAGCTGGTCTACTTTGCCATCATGGAGCTACTGCCTACTCTTAATTGCTCATCAACAAAATTTCTCTTGTTTCTGACAGTGCCTTAGGCTTGAACTTTCCCATACTCTGTTCCAAATAATTAGTTATCCTTAGGGAAAGTTACAGAGCCCTTTGTTCTTGTGACCTATCTCTCCCTGCTCTGGAGGTGGTGCAGGGACAGTGGCCTGCTTTTCTGTGAATGACACCTCTGGTCTACAAGAAGGGTGCTGTGTGACCATAGGAGCAACTGGTCTTCTCTCCTTGCCTTTTCCAGCATAAAACCTCCACCCAGTGAGTGAGATGGGCTGAGTGGGACCTAGTACTCTCAGAATGCTATGCCTGGTGTAGAGCTTCCACTCCATGAGTAAAGGCTGGGCTGAGGAAGGGACCCCTCTGCTTCTTGGCCTAGAATAGAAATTCTGCCACAGAGCTGGCAGGGGTGGGAGCTGTGAATTGTCAATGTTGGTAGTCTCCCCCTCCCTGGGAGAAACCATAACCCTGTGTGTTTGGAGCTGTGGGAAGAGGGAGCCCCATCTTCTTGGCCATACCCGCCCAGGGTAGAGCTTCCTTTATGCTGAGCTTCAGAGGGGATTTGTACCAGGAAAGGGAGTAGGTTGTGGGTTGTAGCTCACATGCCACGGATTCTTGCTGTTCTTGCTGATGTTTGATAAATCTTCTGGAGAAAAACTATTTCTTCATGTATGTACTTAGGACAATTTCCAGAGACTTTAAGTGGTTGGTTTTTATCATTTTATCTGTTGTGGTTGTTGCACTGGAAAGAGGGCCCACGGATATCCTTATTTTAAAAGTACTTCCCTCGTGTCCCCTAAAATTGTATGAAAATGTTCAGGCCTCTTTTGCTGGTTTAGAATTCAAACATGTACTAGGGATGGTCTTTAACACGCTACTTACTAGCACAGCAATCTGGCAAGGACCATCACATGTAGACTGACATCAGATGCAGTCCCTAGGAAATACCCCAAATAGGAGAGATTTCTATTTCTGGCAGTTAGGCAGACTAGATTGCTGGAAGGACCCTCCCACTGGGAAAAACCCTGAAATGTATAGTAAGGTTTTTAAAAATATATTTAATGACATCAGTAGTCAATTAGCAAAAAATACTCATAAATCAATGACTAAGTGAAAGAGGAAACTCAGAGAAGCGGCAGCATATTGAATGTGGCTTTCCCCTTAAGGATATTTGGTGAACTGAATAAATTCGAGTATCTGTTCGCACAGCTTTCCCAACCATAAAGAATACAAGAAAGTCCAAGGCTTCTGTGCAGTATCTAATAGGAGACCCTCCCCATATGAGCTTGAAACCCCAAAAGGCTAAACTCTCAGTGTAAAGATGAACAAAAAATGTTCCCCCCTTAGAAAACTACAAGGAAAACTGCCTATCTCAAAACATAGTGCTAGGTAGGGCCAGGGGAATTTCCCTCTGACAATTCATAGCAGTAAACCATCCCTCACGTGAGTTTACAACCCAATTTGATTGTGTCTGAGTGGCCAAAAATCCTAAGCCATGAAGTTAAAGTATCCCCAGCTTGTAGTTTCCTCCAGCACCTTGTAGAATCAAATGTTAAGTCATTCTTGAAAGAACCCATCTTCAACCCAGACCTCAAATTATTCCTAGAAATAAAGTTCCAAGATAGTTAAGTTCACAACCAAAAAAAACCCCACAAAATATACAAGCAAACCAAGCACCAAGAGTGAGAAACAGCAGGGACATTATTAGACACCACCATTATTAAACCTCAGATATTAGCATTATTAGCATACAACAGAAAGGAAGTATAGCTAATACGTTTACATATTAAAAGAATTTGAAAAGTGAAAAAGTAACTGATTATGAAAAATGATCCAGCATGTTGATAACATTCTAGAAATGAAAAAATATAACCAAAATGTAAAATTTGGAGATGTAAGTTCAACAGAACATTACATACAATTGAAAGACAATGTGGTGAGCTGGAACACAGATTTTGGAGATGATGCCCAACTGAGAAACAGAACATGAGAAGTTAAGTGACATGGACTAGATCTAACTGAGGTCTAGCTAAATTCCTAGTGGAAAGGAGAAAGAGGATGGGGGAAAGTCAATATAAGAGCAGCTAATAACCAAGAACTTTCCAGAACTGATAAAAGGTAGAAACAAAAATCCACATATTCAGGGATCCAGATGAATTCCAAGCAGGGAAAATAAAAATCAATCTAAACTTGGAAGCACCACAGTAATAAATGCAGAACACCAAAGACAAGGAGAAGATCTTTAAAACAGAGAGAAAAACCACCTCCAAGGAACACAAACATCTCAGTGCCTAACATCTCAACAGTAATAATGGAAGTCAGAAGGCCATAAAATGTGCTTAGAAAAACCTGTCAATCTCGAATATCCAGGAAAGAAATATTTCATGAACTAGGATAAAGACGTAATTTTCACACAAACTAAAGCTAAAAGACTTTTTCACCAATAGACCCTCACAAAATAAAGCTGTATTGGATATAACTTCATACTAAAGGATAAATAACCCAGATGAAAGATGAATAATAAGCAAAGGAAGTGGTAAATATGTGGGCAAATCTAAATGTGTGCTGTAAAGAATAATAAGTGCTGAATAAAAAACTGAAATCAAGCTACAAGTAAAATGCATGAATATCCCGCACCTCGGTTCAGAGGGGGCTCTTCTGCCTTAAAGTATGCTCAGATCCTTGAATTGTTCTGGCAAAGGGCAAAGATAAGTAACTTTGCTTTTCATAAGTTAAAGATGACTTAGTTTTTGTGACCATATACAAGAGAGTAGAAATACTATGCATGACTTCCAAAGTAGTAGAGAGGGGAAATGATATTGAAAGACAAACCTAGCTGGCTTGGTGGCTCACACCTGTAATCCCAGCACTTTGGGAGGCCAAGGCGGGTGGATCATGAGGTCAAGAGATCAAGGCCATCCTGGCCAACATGGTGAAACCCCATCTCTAATAAAAATACAAAAATTAGCCAGGCATGATTGCAGGCACCTGTAGTCCCAGTTACTCGGGAGGCTGAGGCAGAAGAATCACTTGAACCTGGGAGGCGGAGGTTGCAGTGAGCCGAGATCATGCCACTGCACTCCAGCCTGGGCGACAGAGCAAGCCTCTGTCTCAAAGGACAGCAAGAAAGGAGAGAAAAAAAATGCAATATTAGCAGAACAAATAGGACAAAATCTAAATGCCCTTACTAAAAGACTTAAATTATAAGGCTGTGTTGTTTTTAAACCTGTCTATATATTAGAGATGTAGCCAAAATATAAACAGATAAGTAAAAAGATGGCAAAAGATATCCAGTGCAAAAACCCAAAAAAGCTGGTGCTTTCTTACACCAAACATCATACAAAACAGACTTCAGGGAAAAATTAGAAACAAAAGCTTGCCCCAAAAAGGTTTATTTCACCAGAAGATAGGATCATTTCCAAATCTATGCAAGTAGTAACCTCTTGCATAGAAATATACCTTCAAGATACATTTCCAAAAATAAGCATGTTTACATGGAGTTGGAGTGACAGACGTTCACATGCTTCTTCCAGTAACTGACAGATCAGGCAGACCAAGAAATGTCTTACATTGAAATGTTTTCCATTTTGAAAGTTTATTGAAGATATTATGAATAACTTTATACCAGTGTATAGTTGAAAACAAAATACAGCAATTTCTAGAAAGCAGCAACTTAATAAAACGGATTCAGAAACGAAAAGTTCAGTCATCCTATTTATTAGGGAAATTTAATCGTTATTTCAAAATACTCCCATGAAGAAATAGAAAGTCCAGAACATTTAACTGGCAAGTGCTACCGCACACTTAAATGACAATTAATTTTAATATTACAGAGTCTGTTCCAGAGAACAGAAATAGGAACCCTCTCCCAGTCATTGTATGACGTTAGCAAAACCTTGGTAGCAAAACTAAAGACAGTACAAGAAGGAAAAATAAAGGCCCATCTTACTCATGCACATAGGTTTAAAAAAAAAAAACTAAGCAAGATATTGTCCAATAATGAAGCCAAAGAATGATTGCCAACTTCGTTATGTATAAATCTGGCTGGGCAGGCCTCCCATTCACAGATTTCCCCACCATCCAGCAGTGAGTGTATTTGCTATATTGGCAAAACAGTGCTATGATGATTTTTTTTTAACCACCAAATCTGTCAAAATTGCCACAAGTACAATTCCATATGTCCTTCACCCAAAGCCACAAGCACGGCTCCTCAGCTCCGTCCAATGAGATGATGACAGAAGGATTTCCAGTCTTCTTGCTCTCACTCACCTCGTGTCTTTTCTCCCCTCTTCTCTGTCTTCCTTTTGTTTTTCAGTGGCTGCTTCAACCCCAAACTCCACTGCTGGTGCAGCCATGAACTCCTTGACCTCTCTTGGGACTCTGCAAGGACTGGCTGGAGCCACTGTTGGACTGAATAATATTAATGCACTAGCAGGTACCATCAACAGTGAGTATTTGCTGCTCTGGTGGACAGCCTTCCCCCAAATTCTCCACAGAAAGTGGTCAGCCAGAAATGACCCGAAAAAGGATATGCCACGGGGAGAACTAAAACTTGGGATGGAGGAGCACATGCTTTGATAGGCAAAAGCTGCCTATACTCATTTTGCCTCAGAAAACCCTCGACCACTCTCCACCCCCAGATTCTCTTCAGTGTGTAGCACCGCGCGTGTGCTCATCCATGGGCTTCTGTGGCTGGCAGCTATTTTCAGGTTTCCAGAAGTTTGGTTTGGTTTGCTTTGGTTTCAGTCGGTTCTGTCCTGTGAGGCAGGGTGTTACAGTGGGAAAAGTTAATGGACTGGAAGGCTGGAAGCCTGAACCCAGCTCTGCTGCCAGGCAGCTGTGGGAAGTCAGGCAGGTGCTGCTCCCTCTCTGGGCTCGGGAGTCTCCATTTGAGAATGGAAAGTTCTGGATCAGATGATTCTTAAAGGTAGCCTCCAGCTCCAAAGTCCAAAGATTCATGACAATTAAATACGGGAGAAAATTAGGCCTTGGAAAGAAGCAAATGAAACAGGGGAGAGGAGTCACTGCCAGAACTGACGTGATCAGAATCTTTATTAAGCACCCACAGGTATGGGTCACTCTACATCAGGGACCATCCAGAGGGACACTGTTTAGCTGTGGCAGGTTGAAGTAGGCTGGAAGCAAATCACTTAGAAAATTGTACTTGGTTCCAAAACATACGGATGGACTCACCAGAGAATTCCTGGTTCTGTCCTCCGCAGCCCACCCGTTCCTGTCATTCTCGGTCGATGGGGGAACGGTGTGCCGGCCAGAGGATAAGTCATGTTTTAGACTCCTGCTCGGTATGGGTTCCTGCACTGGGGAAACTGATCCTCAGCCCACAGAGGGGACACGTAATTTCCCTGTCCCTCCGTTTCGGACTCCCTGGTTGCCTGAGAGTAGCCAAGCCCAGCAGATCCATGACAGCCAACAGAGCTGCTGATACTGGAGCCCAGTTAGCTACCATGCAGCCCGGACATCCCCGGCACCTGCCCGTTCTCATTTTTAATAAAGGAGTCCTTGACAGTTGTTGCCCTATTTTAAGCCATGGTTCAATAAGTGGACTGTTTTGAAAGGGTGACCAGGCAGTATAATTTTTTAAAGCAATATAATCCCAGTAATTTCATACTGTAAAAGCTCAGAATACCTTGTACTGGACTTGGTAGAAAATGAACCTAAAATTTATCCAAATAAAAATTAACTTTTATAATCCTGATAAAATAGATCATTTTTAGAATTAGGACATTTTCCAGGTTTTAGTACATCCTTGTATGCAGAAGCTCTAGGAGAAGCAAAAGCGTGGACCGAGCTTTAGCTGACCATACCTCCCAAATGGGATGGCTCGTGATTAGCGTGGAGCCCGTGAACTGGTAGCCGCGCGGCGGCCGCAATGTTTTATTCCAGTTAGAACCGCCTCCAGCTTTGACTTTTCCAGCAGCCAAGTAGGAGCCTCACTGCCTTGACCCCGTTTCCGGTACAGCTCCTCGCTCTGACCTTGTCCTTCACCTAGGTCGAGGACGCGTGTGCTCGCACACATCCCCTCATGCTGCTTCTCTTGCCCCAGGACCTAGTTCCCCTAAAACAAGGACTTTGATTTGACCGCCTGCCTGTCCTTGGTCTGCAGAGTAACAGGCCAGTGGGAATGGTTGTCCTCCTCAGCACGTGCTCATGACTGGTGTGTGTGTCCTCTCGTCCGTGTCCCGCCCTGTCCACGCTGCTCTGCTCTGCATTGCTGAGATTTTGCCATCGTTCTCGTCAGGGACTGCAGAGGGGCTGTGTTGAATGGCAGAGAAACCATGAGTAGTTCTTGTGTGGGGTCTTGTGTGATACACATTTTGCTTCTGGCAAGAACAACAAGTTTAAATTGTTTTGCTTTTTAAAATTCTTTGCTATTGGGTTAATATCAGTCTGTACAGTTCACAGAAAATGAAGAAAGAATGTCATTTCACATAACCCCTACTAGAGAGTATGAACCAAGAAAATATTTAATTAAACCAAAACCAGGCACAAATGAAAATACATTCCTTGTGCCTGGAAAGTGTTACTAATGCAGAGCTGTTTTACAATCTCCAGCACTGACCTAGAGCTAATATTTGCTGCTTGTCGCAAAATATCAACAGAAAACCTTCCAAGACAGAGTATCCTCTTTCAGACCATTCCTTCTCAACAGAGATGATTATGCTACCGGTTCCACTGGATAATTCCTAAAGAAAGTCGTCAAGCAGTGGTTACCTGGACAGAGTCAGCTTCTCAAGTAGTTGACGGCAGCTTCCGTAGACCGCTGTTAATCCCACCCCACTGCAGCAGCCGTTATCTGTTTCCATATGGAGAGTATTCAGGTTTTCTGAATAAAGCCAACTCTTTCCCACTGACGCAGCAGCCAGCCAGAAAGCAGGTAGATGACTCACCAGAGCCTACATTTTACCCTCTTTCCTGCTCAAGAGCCCAACACCTCTCCCAAAAAATGAAGCTTTTGGTCAGTAGACAAGTAGCTAAATTATACTGTTTGGAGTTGGATGTCCTTTTTATTCCCTTATACATTAATGAATCGAAGGGCTAAAAAACAGTATAATATCCTAAAAATATAAGAATCATCAAGATCAGAAGAAGGAACACATGTGATTCACCATCAGAGTGTTCACCTCTGGATTTTTTCAGGGTTCCCTGAGCATGTTTTATATATTAACATCTGAACTAAGGTGAAGAACATACTTTTTCCACCCAAGAGTCTGTATCTGATTTTATGTGTTTCAGTGTATGTCAAGTGGCATCTTTATTTTTCCTTGTTTTATTGCATAATTCGAATGGTTTCCAAATGGCTTACCATATAGTGCTTAAAATTATGATTGTTTTAAGAAAACCAGCTGCAGATGCCTGGTGAAAAGCGTCTATGAAAATACTTTCCGTGAGAAGATGCTCCGGGCATATTTTTGTGGCTTGGCACTACTTGCATTGTGAAATTACCGTTTTAATCTGTATTCCTAGTATTTATAGTTTCCACAGCCCCACACAATGTGTGTGCCCTTAATAACACAGGCAGGTATACAAGTGACACCTCCATCTACCCTAGTTCTAGAGATTTTATATTTAGCTTCTCATTTATCAGCTTGTAGCTTAGAAGGATAATCCGTCATCTATACAGAGGAAAACTTACCCCTGTGAAGTGGTTACAAATCTGAGAGAATATTAAGACCTTCTCCCTTTTTCTTTGATTTGGGATAAAGCCTAGCAGGGCAGCTTGCAGTCAGTGTAGTCTGCTGTGGCACTTGGCTTGTGATTCTCCTTTTCAGTGTCATCTCCTTAGTCCCCCCAACAAAAAACATTCATGCTCATGTTTATGGGTTAGTCCTTCTGTGCCATGTTAACAAATTCAGCATCTCCCAGCTCCTGGGTCTCTACCGTAGACTGAGGGCCTCTGGAGAGGAATGAGGCAGAAGGCACTCAGTTGTCAGGCTGCATGCCGGCCCTCCCGGGCCAGGTGCAGAGGCCGCCCTGCCGAGCACTGCCACACCTGTCACTGGCTTCCAGCCTTCCTCGTCTAAATAGCATGCATGGGGATGGAGATGATAATAATAAATGAGAGGAAACGGCTGATCCACTGGGCCATTTCAAGGAAAAGCCCTATTCTTTTAAGTGGAAGCATTTTATTCAACGTAACTTTCTTCACAGCTCTGCTTCTGTTATCCAGAGCTTTTAGAGGAAATCAAGTACCCACAGCCGGGTTGACAAACACTGTCTGTGATAGAATTAACCTAGAATAACATCAGGTGACTCACAGGAACTGTTCTCAGAGGTGGAATGCTGCCTCTGATTGTTCTTCAAATCCTACCATGTTTTCAGCTACTTTTCTACCCGGGACCTAGGAACCACCCTCCCAGATTTTCCATGATAGTTGTAGTTTAAAATATTCTCAGTGTGCTGGTACTTATTAGAACTTTTTTGTTCACATGGATGTTTATACCATGGAGGAGGCGAGCCCCTGGCTGAATAGGCCAAACCCTCCCCGTGTCCCCTGACTCGTCCCCCTTGAGCATCTGCATCCCTTGCTCATGGTACCGCCTCTGCCACCCCCCACCTTTCCCAGGAAAATAGGGCCGGCCACAGCTGTCTCCTACATGCACAGCACCAGCAGAAGTAAAAACGACCCTTCCGGAAAGCAGATTAGCTCTGAGGTGTAGTCCAGAGACACAGCCAGCCTTTGTGAAGTGGAGCCAGGAAAGAAGGATATGGCTGGAACATCACTGGCTGGAGCTCCAAGCTTCACAATACCCTCTGAAACATCCATCCAGTATTTCAAGAGCAGGAGCTGCATTTTGCTTCTGCCCTGTAAGAGAAAAACATTTTTGGCAAAAGAGAGAGTTGGATAATTTTTCTGACCTGGAAATTAAAAACCAGCTGTGTACAGAGAAGGGAGTTGGGTCCCAGTGACCACTGCCATAAAATGCCTCGTGTGTATCTGGCGCTCTGGAGAAGCCAAGTCATGGAGGCTGCAAATCGCAGGAAGGAGCCCCTGTGAGTCTCACATGACAAGGCCTGAAAACTCCCACCCTCAGCAGACAAGGCATCATGGCGGTGCAATGCTCCCCACCCCTCCATGGGAACCTGGAGGTGTCCACTAGAGAGGAGCTGCTGTCTTCAGCCCGTCCTCGTCTGGCAGCAAGGCCCGCGTGGCTTCGCAGGCTGCAAGTCACTCCCAGAACCTCATGCCTTGAGATCCAAGCAGAGCGGCGAGTCGCCACTCTTCTCCTGCCAGAATTTCCTCCACACAGGCATCTGCGTTTCTAAAGGACTGTGCCCAGAGCTCGATCATCTATAATCCACAGCACCTGTTAACAGCCTGGCCAAAGTGAGACCAACAATTTATCAGCGGCGTCCGGCCCTTCCCGAGTTACTGTACATACCCCTCTCACCTACCTCAAAAACACGGAAGTTCCTTTGCATCACACAAATAAATAGTGGGAGATGAGGATGAAATAAGACCACTGGAGGAAGACAGAAACGACTCTCCAGTCCTCTGGGGGCCACAGTAACAGGGACAGAGGGCAAGCACAGTGGCAGGGAGGTGGCTGAGATTTGCTGGTGTCCGAGGGATCATTTAGAGTAATTAGGACAGTCTGCATCCAAGCTCTTTGGACAGCTTTTACTTGCATGACCCAATGAAAACATTAATGAACATCTCAATGATTTTCTTAATAGATAGACCCCTTCATAATAAGAAACAAAAGTAGACACAGCAGGGCCTCAGCTGGCAACACCTCTGAGCTGAGCCTGCACTCGGGAGGCTGCTCCTTCATTCTCCCGCCATTCACACTCACCTCGCCACCCCTGCTCGGTGTCTGTTCTGAGAAGCACAGGAATACCTGAGGTGAGGCACAATGACAGTCCTCCACTGTTAAGCCATGGCCTAACTCATATCTTACACGTGTCCTTTTAATTGGAGAGGCGAAGTTGGCCAAATAGAAGCACAAGTGGAGTAAAGAGAACATTCCCCACCTGCTCCGTTAGGGCAGCAGCATGCTGGACGTGTGGAGGTCACTCTGCTGCCGGACTCCCTGGTGTTTCCAGGCAGCCTTACCTTAGCTGTCCTCCATTGTCATTAGACTCCTTACCTATTTTTTCAGTTAGCCATTCTTGCTGTTTTCATATATCCAATCTATAGCCCTACTTTCACTGAGATTTTCATGAATGTTTTCAGTAAGTAGTTCTCAGAAATAGATCTTTTCTTAAAGAATTGTGATCATAAAGGGACCCAGAGGCAATTGTGATGTCCCCTCTTCCATTTCCTGAGTTGATAGGAAAGTTAGCACTCTATAAAGTGTTGCTGGCTTTGACTCAGTATTCAGGGAAAATGTGACAGTCAGCAACCCCAGTAGAGCCAAAGAGCAGCCAGGATACAAGGGGAGAAATCGAGTCTACTGGCCACCATCCCGTTGCCATCAGGTGATAGCCAAGGTCCAGCCTGTAGACACGCCTCTGTCTCCGGCTGACTGAAAAACATGACCTGGAGCTCTTTCAGTGGCCGAAACCCCCGTCGCCACTTGGGCATGGGTGCACGCACAGAGTAACTCTTTGCTGCTGAAAACTGAACCACTTTGATACTGAATGAGTAGCTTCAGCTCTCTGCGACTGTGGGAAAGGTCCACATTTCTTCTGTGCCTCAATTCTTCATCAGCCAGGCTACTGACTCCTAAGGTCGTAGTCCCTGGCATCATCATTCAGCTGTTTAGAAAGCCCGTTTTCCCACACTGTAACTCCTGGAACTGCAGGTCCAGAACTTGTCCTCTCCACCATTTCCTCATCACACGGCCTAAAGGAAAAAAGTTTTATTTCATCCTTTCCTCCTCAGCCCTGCAAGCCATCCCATAGTTCCTTAAAAAGCCCAATAAATGGATTTCAGTGTATGTATTTTACAGGCCTCTGCTACTAAGGGTTTTTTTTAACATGCTCCTAAGCTCCCAGAAGCAAAAGGCTTTTACTTCCAAAAGATAACAACGGTACTTGCCAGTAGCACGCTGCATGGCATTGAGCTGTCTCGTCTCACTCGTGCCACAGTGCATTTGGATCACTGGCCTAGGGAGTGAGGGTTCTCATGGCTTAGGTCATTTTCCCCCATTGTCATGATTTATTTCTTCATGGTTTTATTTTTAGTTTCCTGTCGGTGTAATTGTGTGCTAGCTGCATGTATTTGCTGTTGTATTGTGTCAAATGATTCTCTAACTTCCTTTGGAAAGCACTAATGAATAAGTGCTGTTTCTCTTCTCTATTGTTGGGTTTTTTGTAAAGTTGCTCAAATGCTCTCAGGTATGGCGGCTCTGAATGGAGGACTTGGCGCCACAGGCTTGACGAATGGCACGGCTGGCACCATGGACGCCCTCACCCAGGCCTACTCAGGAATTCAGCAGTATGCAGCCGCCGCGCTGCCCACTCTGTACAGCCAGAGCCTGCTGCAGCAGCAGAGCGCTGCGGGCAGCCAGAAGGAAGGTAGGTGCCGCCTTGGCCCCAGGCAGGGCCCAGCCCAACTGGCAGCACTGGCCTCTAGAGCACGGTTAGAAGGTATCAAACTGAACCCATGTCATAACAGAAAGCAGCTGTTGTATGTGTGATTCGTGTTTAACAAAAAAAACCTGAAAGCTGGGCATGGTGGCATACACCTGTAGTCCTAGCTACTTGGGAGGTTGAGATGGGAAGATCGCTTGAGCCCAGGAGCTGAGGCTGCAGTGAGCCATGGTCATGCCTGTGATAGCCACTGCACTCCAGTCAGGGAACACAGACCCCTCTCTCTCAAACAACAGCAAAATCCTACTTATTTCAGTCTTTCTCACTTGGTCTTATAGTTACCTTCTAATTTAATTTTTCATCCATCTCTTTAGATGAAGTTCTTGTCCAGTGTATATTTATATACCAGTCTGGCTTTGTAGATAAATGGTTTTAATTTTTTCCCCCAGCTACATCTTCTGAAGGGTTATGGCATTTCTGCAGATCTAAGTCCAGGAAAGTTGACCACCTTTTTTGCAATCCCCAAATATCCTCTCACTGCTCACCCCCCTCCCATAATTAAGTTCTATAAACTATTAATTTCCCATCAACTACTTAATATTTGCTGCCTATAAAAAATTCCCAGCGACTTCCCTTTCCCAAGTCAGCACAGACCATCACCTTTTCCCGACACAGAAACTACTTGTTGGTGGAAGGGGATGGATGGCCACTGGCTTCTGTAGGGTGAAACACTCTGTCCTGTGTTTGCCAGGGTTTTTGAGTCCACACATCCTGTGAGTGTGTGGCTGCCTCTCAGTAGGTGATGGTTTTCAGGTGAATGATAAAGTGCACGGTTAGGATTGCCTTGGTCTTTGTTTAATTGGGGGTCTTCAGGGAAAGCAAGTAAGTGATCGATTGCCTTGCTTCTCTGCCAGTAAAGCAAAATAAACTCCAGGAAGTTAATGCTAAGAATAAATTAAAGCTAATTATGAAATGGTTCATGAGTAAGACCAAATAGGATCATTGGTCATTCTTCCTTTTGATTCCTTCTTCCTTAATTGAAGCTCCTTTAGAGCAAAATCTGCTAAATGATTTTTTTTTCTGACTTGGTTAGATATGGAATAAAAAGCCAGAATAGAGAAGCACTAAGGGAGATTTTTTTAAGTTTCTTTCCCTTCTCTTTTACCCTCCCCCCATAGTTCCAAACTGCTTTGTCTGAAGTGGGTTTTAAGAGAACACAGCTTAAAAGATACTTACTTTTTTTTTTTTTTGAAAAAGGAAAGAAAAGGTTTTTTTATTTGTATGAATAACATGGAGATCACTTTTAAAATGAAAAATATATGAAAGTCCAAGTTACTTTTCATTATGTCAACTTTGTCTTTACTCTTAGCTGTGACTATTATTATAGGCTTTTGAAACATGCACAGGTGTTCAGACAGCTGTGGTTCCCCAGGCTTGTGAAAGAGCCCCTACATCATAAACATCACTTGTCTTCCCCAGGAAAGGCCTGTGTGTGTTCCTTTGTCTGTGGTCTGAGTACCATGGTGACAAATGAAGGCAGAGAGCAGGACCCTGTAGGACGATGATATCCTCACACAGAGGCCAGAAGGCCAGTTCCCCACATGGTGGCCACCTCTCCATTACAGAGCAGGACCTTCCAGTAAACTATGGAGCGGTTTAGGGATAAAGTCTGGGCCCTGAAACAACATGTTTCCGAGGTTTCACCTGAGCTCACTGCCCTCAACTTTCTCGCCTTGAGTTTTAGGGGTTACTGCTTAGCGCAGTAATTCCCCTTCTGAGATTAAGGTAAAATTGCCCAAAATAACCACTGTCCACCTCTGATTTAAGTGTGTGCGTTTTCAGTAGCATGCTTTCGGGTTTTTGATTTGTTCAGTGTTTCTTTGGAATCATCTCCCACCTTCTCATACCTCTCTTCTGATCCCCTTCTCTCCCAGTTAATACGTGCTCAAGAAATTTAAACCATCTTCATATTACTTTAAGTAAAACATAAATTTAAAAGCAAATGATGTCAGGCAGAGCAAAAAAATAATAACAATGATGAATTCCAGATTTTCTACTCCACAGTTCTGTCCGAGGTTGCAAGACCTGGTGTGTTTTTCCCCAGACAGGAAGTGAGCCTCTGACGGCCCCGCCTCTGTCCATTACCTGCAGGAGGCGAGTCCCGTGAGGAATGGGGACGCTGGTGTACTCGTACAGCTTTGTTCCTACAAACGTCCCCAGTGCTTTATGCCAGACCAAGTGCCCTGTGAGAAAGATAAAACATGAACACCCCAACAACCAGGACCAGTAGTGAGTGTAACAGAGAATCTAACAAGTGACAGTAACGTGCACCGGGAGAAATCTGATGAAGGGGTGACTTGTGAACAGGTGTTTCCCACTTCTAAAGGAAGAGCGATGACACACAGGTAGAATCCCATTTTTAAAAAAGGTGTTTTGTGTTTTCATCTCAGCCACCTTAGTTGCATACAAGGGAGGTTTTCCATATGAAATTTTTTTTCCCATTTTAAGATTAAAAACTCAGGGCATATACAAAACCAAACTGTTTCTTGGTGATGGAAAAATTGGGGGATCTATTTCAAGAGATGCTGCTGATGTTTTTTCTTGGGAAGATCAGAAGCAAAAGGACAAAACCTACTTGTGTGTGTTTACTGGTCTCTTTGTTGGGCACAGACACATCCAGCACAAGCAACGTTCTAAAAGCCAGGATTACTCAGGCATACCCAGTCATCTGTCATGTGCACTGAAACTCTATTTTCTCCCCGGCTTCAGGAGGTGAGGCGTACTTCACAGTTCCAACTGGGGCCCAATAACCCTCATTCATGCATTTGGATCTTTTGTGCAGTAGGAACGTGAAAGCTGGTAGCACCAAATCTGACCAGCAAACATATCACCGAGGATGTGCACACACAGCAGCACTCGAACATCCCTTTCCAGTATTTGGGTTTTGCCTCTTTTCATGTTAAATTTTGATTCTCTTAAAACCAGAAAACATCTGGGGACCTAAGGCCCCCCTACAATCGTGTCCCTTTAAAATAGACTCCTTCCCATGCTCTAGAATATGGATATGTCCAAGGAAATGGAAGCAGTATGGAAAGTTAGAGTAGTCATGAAGACACACTTTTAAATGAGAAAGGAATACTTCATTTCTGTGGCTTCCATAGTTTGCCTCAAGAAGTTTTCTTTGTGAAAAGTCCCAATCATTAGGATACTTTCTTGTGATGTATCTTGTGGAGGCAGGGGAAGAAGCTTGGTCTGACATTTTTACAAAATTCTTTTTATCCCCATTTTCGTTTTCTTCATGCCACACACAGACACCCTTCCCACATTTAGGTACCCCAGTGCAGCTATCCCCTGGGGTTGCCTAGTTGGGCAGGCAGGCCCATTCCTCTCCTGCGAAGGCCAGTTGAGGATTCCCGACCCACTGCAGCAGTCGCCCCACCAGTTCTGTGAGCGCCCCTCCTTGGAAGACTCCATGCCTGGAATGCCCAAGAAACAGTCAGCCCTCATGTCCCTCAGCTCATATTTATCCCATTTTGTGCTGCTTTTAACTTTCAAATGGTGCTCATATGGGTGGGGGAGAGTCAGGAGAGGAAAAGCGAGGGGAGCTTAGGAGCACGCACCTCTCCAGCCAGCGGGGCCAAGATCTCCATGCTGCCCTTGCTGCCTGTGTTTACTGGGAAAGGACAGGTGGACAGGCAGAGCTTGGCTTCCTTGGTCTTTGCCTAGCTTCTACATCGACTGCACTCATCTCCAAGGCTAACGCCCAGGGGAGTCATTCCTCTCAAAGTCGTGAGACTCAGGCTACCTTCTTTCCTTGTCTTGACTCATTGCCAGTCATTTCTAATAAAGATGATTATTAGACTGTGTTAAGAGATCTTGCAAATCAAAACTGGCTGGATAACTAGGCAAATGATAGAGAAATCTGAGCAGCATTACTGCTACATCCATTCTAAATTGTTACAATTTGCTTAGAATGCACAGAGCACCACCCTTTTTTTCTTCTCAGAGTCTGTCTGTACCTGAGAAAATCTGGCCACCCAGGAAAAACCCATGCCAAGATTACCTGCCCCCATTCTGCCCACTGTCACCTTCATCCCCATGAAGAGGTGACTGAAATGCATGCCAAGGGGCAGTAGTACCTGTGACTCACAGAAGACTGTCAGGGAAAAGGAAGCCATTCGTAGCCAGCATCTCTGGAAATCAGGAAAATCTGAAGGATGATTGCTTTCCTGAAAGGCACTCCAGCACTTGACATTTATCCATCTGTTTGTTTGTTCTTTGTAGGAAAGAAAGCGAAATGCTTAGCCTACCTGTTGTTAAAGTATTCCTAAGAAGGGACTTTGGAAACTAAGACTCAAGGGATACCTTACTCTGACTTTTTTTTTCCTCCTTAGGTCCAGAGGGGGCAAACCTCTTTATTTACCACCTTCCACAGGAATTTGGAGACCAGGACATTCTGCAGATGTTCATGCCTTTTGGAAATGTTATCTCTGCTAAAGTCTTCATTGACAAACAGACCAATCTGAGCAAGTGCTTTGGTATGCAAAAGAAACTAAGCTAGAATATTGCAGTAGGTTCCCAAGTGAAGAGTCATGGGAAGGAAAATGTGAGACAATTTCAGTCAGGATAGGGCGTTCCCCACGTGGTGGTGGGCTCTGATTTTCTGGATCCTTGTAAGCAGATTTGAGCAAAGAAAGGAAGGCTCTGGGAAATTAAAGTCGATGCCCATACATTAGGTAATCTTCTATACTATACTGTTAAGGAATCAAACCACATTTAGCTGATCTTTCCCACTAATTCCTTACCCCTCTGGGTTTAGTGCAATTCAGACACCATGGTGGTGGGCAACACCATATTGGGGGCTTACTGGCCTTGATGTAACACACACACAGACATTTTCACAGCCAGCCAGCCATTCATCAGCACCAACACACCCATGTGTTCAGGCTGCTGCGTGATCGCAGCTCCACGTGCCCGGGATAAGCGGTTGACAGATCTCACGGTTACGTAGTGCGCTGCATGACGGGATCTGAAGGGCCACAGTCGGGGAGTGGAATGGATGTGGAGTCCAGGGGCTAGGGCGGGGGCTGTGGGAATGAATGTGAAGTCCAGAGGTGTGCAGCTGTTATCAGAGCCTGAGCTGCCATGCCCCTTTCCTCAAGCAGTCTGGACTCTGCCTCCTGTGGTGTTTTTCGCTCCCTTAGGGAGTAAGGGATGCTCGCAGAATGGACGGATATTTTACACCAGGACAACAGCATTCATTAAATATATTCCTTCCTTCATTTTTCAAACCCTATTGGCCCCCAAAGCAGTTTACAGGCCAGGATGTTCAGAGTATATATTACTTGGCAAGCTCAGGGCCCAGTTTGAGTTAGAATATTCACTTTAATCACTCCTGCAATTTAATAATTCATGCCGATGGGAAATAGTAACAGCATAAAACCCAGTCAGTTAGGTAGGGCTGGAGGAAACACAGAATTGTGTGCTATAAAGGAAAATAGCAAAGGGAGGGTGGTTCTCAAACTTAACACTGGCTGGCAATGAGGAACCAGTTCAAAGAGAATGTTTTGGCTTCTAAAACTCTATTATCATAAGGTCTAATTTGTGCTATCACCCAGGAAGGTCTGAAGGCACCGTTAAAGGACTCCGCATGTCAGCCACTTACAGTCACCACGCTACCCTAGCGGCAAGGCTGTCAGCCGGAACCCATTAGGCTGCTGCTGTGGCAACTGTATAAACCCCTCTGTGACAGTTCAGTAGAGAGGGATATGCAAATCAAATCATTATGGGGGGGTGTGTTTGAGCAGGAGCCTACTTTAGGGAGGCTTCCCTACACGGTTTACAAGGCTTTGAGGCAGACTTTTGTGTTTTTCACAGCTAAACAATATTCTAGGTTTATTTGGAAGGGAATTCTGCTTCATGATTTGATTTGAGAAAATATTTACTTCCTTGAAAACAGATTATCAGCCTACAACCTCCTTAACCATGTGCTCATACTGACGTAAACCATAGCTGTTAGTGTCAGCAGATGATTCTTGAGCATGATGGACTGGTTTCCATTTTTGTGAAATGCTATAGCACCCAGGTTGCTCGGTGAGCCAGCCGCATTTCTTAGGGCTGCCAGTCACAAGGTGGTGCCCTGTTCCTTCCTAGTTCTTGGCCAGGGTTTGTTATCCATCTCACCTTTGTCCACTTCCATTCTGTAACTATCTTGCTGTTCTTTGGTAAAGTACCCAGAGGGAAAGGAAAGTCAGAGCAAAACTCTTGGATCCCAGATCCCATTTATTGGGAATGAGACTTAATAAAAATTGAAACAGCCACTTTGCAATCCAGCCTGCCTCTGAAAAGCTGCTCAGTGTTACGCCACATGCCCATTTTTATCAGCTGAGAACTGTGCAGAAAAGTCATGTCCTCTTCTTCCTCCTCTAGTTTGTAAAGGAATTTTCTCTTTAACTTTAATAGCAGATGGATAGAGGTGCTCAGCATAGAACCTTCTGAACAGCTGACATTTAGACCTAAATGTAAATCAGAACAATAGCTTCCTGTCACCACTTGCATCAGCACCCTTTACAGCCTTGCCGTACCTCTGCTGCCGCCTCCCCCAGTGCTGGAACAGACTCTGGGACCGAGATCCTCTTGTCACTGGGTCTTTGCAGTTCTTTTTCAAAAGCTTGCCCTCCCTGCTGTTTTTGGTGGCGGTTGTTGCTACAGAGTAAGAAATGGGGACTTCTCTTCAGATGATTAAGCTCTAAGCCATTGACTGGGTATCCCCGAGACTCTGGGAGATGCCAGGGAGCAATTTCCTTTCTGCTGAATTTACTGGAGCTTTGGAAATGGAAAGTGAGATAAGGAGAAAGGCCCAGCACCTCCCTAGTTTCCTTGGTAATAACTGCAAGTGGGTAAAAATCAAGTATGAGTTATTCTAGGGTTTATCCGCTAATTGACCCATCCTCCAGCCAAACAGGTGTAGGCTCTGTGTGACGGACAATGGAGAGCTGGAGTGAGAGGCCGGGGCTTGGCAGTATCTGCTGTTCTCCAGCCCTTCCCTTCCCGAGCCTGCCTGCTGGCCTCACCTGGCTGGGACACGTGAGCCCCTAGGGGCCCCCACAGCCCTTAAATATTTACACCACTGCTTGTATGAGTAGCATATATGGACCTGGGGTTCTTTTGGAGAGATACTAAAGGACTTAAAACACAATGATTTGAGCGAGTTCAATAAGTGGAACTGAATTCAGCCAAACAACTGAGGTTTCAGTGTTCTGGGGAGGGGTGTGTGCTCCATGATGCCACAGTTCCAGTCCAGCCAGCTGCTCCACAGCTGCTCAGTGGGCACGTTCCATCAGCCACTCACGGTGGACTCACCATCAGTTCGGCGGAGCTGTGCTGGGCCAGTGGGGCTGGCACCTCATGCTGGCTCTCCAGCCCTCCCCAGAGCCCCGGCCCCCTTTTCTGGTTGCTGCTGGGCTGCCTCTCCAGCCTGACTCCCTGTCTCGGTATTTTCCAGGTTTTGTTAGCTACGACAATCCAGTCTCTGCACAAGCTGCTATCCAGGCTATGAATGGCTTTCAGATCGGCATGAAACGCTTGAAGGTGCAGCTGAAGCGTTCCAAAAACGACAGCAAACCTTACTGATCCTAACCCCAGAGGCTCCCTGCTCTCATTTTAGCTTTCTTAGGGTAAGTCCCACGAGCCAGCCTGTCTCAACAGGGAAGGCAGAGGAGGACCACATTGCCAACTTTTACCAAGAGAGACGGTTATTTTTACAATAAGGCCTCCATGTCCCCACCCACTTCCCCTACCCAGTTTGCCATAATTAAAACTTGGGCTACCTTGTTTCTATTGAGTAAATTCCTTCTCCAGTTGTGCCACTGTATTCTCCTTTGTTTTGCAATTTGAATCTCCTTTTACCTTTTTTTTTAATTTTTTTCATTTTTGCTTTTTTAAAGAGAAGCATATACACAAATAAATGGCATCTTGAGAATTTAAAAGGCAAACAAACGCTAATGTGCAATTCTAACTCTGAAACCACTGGTGCCCCGAGAGCACTGCCTGGAGAATTCACCCCTCCTTGCCCGGCGCCCGCCCCCGGAGGGAGGGCCCGGTGCTTAGAGGTTAACGTGGTGGCCTAGGAGAGGGAGAAGCCAGGAGAAGCACTTACTCCAACCACACGTCTTTCCACTACATCGGCTTGTTTTCCTAAGTAGGATTTTATTTTAGGGTTCAAAGAAACATGACATTTATTGGTCAAATGATTACACTGGTTGTCTATTTTGTTATTGTTTTATTTTAGTTTTTAGAAAGGATTAATGTACAAAAAGATTTAGAGATCTGTTTCTTAAAGCTACAGGGTTTAAAAATAAAAATGAGTGAAAATACTTGATGTTTCTTGAAAGATAAATTTAATAATAATAAATAAATACATAAATACATAAATAAAAAAGAAAGCCACAGGCCTGTAAATTTTATTTGTAAAAAAGCATTTCTATTTTTATACAAAATTTTTACTGCCTCAGAAATAATGGAAGTTATTTATTGCCTATTGTTAACTTATTGGGTACCTAAAGAGCAGTTCTCTGTCTAGCTAGAACCTTCTGAAGTAGTCTCTAGAGGAATTGTTCTAGGAATGGGCTTTTTTTCACCGTTGAACCCTAGACCTAAAGTTCATGCTTTATCCTCTCGTTGTTTGTATCTGTCTGATGATTTTGTTTGTAACTTCCATTATCTAGTTTACAGTTCAGTCGTCTGACTTTCCCCGTATGTCACATTTGTTGAAACTGGACCCTCTCCCCCTGTCCCTCACCCCAAAACACCCGGAATCCATCCCCTTTCACTCTCTCCAGATGGATTCTCTTGGGGTTTCATTGTGCTGTGGATAAAGAGTGTAAGAAATGCAAATTATGTGAATGGCTCGGAGACTCCCTAATGACCTAAGATTTGCATTAGTTTTTCTCCTGCACCCTTAAAAGTGATTTTGTTGCTGCTGCATAGATTCTGTGTAACTTTTTACTCTTCCTTGTTTTTTCCCTAGACATCTTCATGCCCGTTAGTTCATCGTTTGCCTAGCATGTCCCTGTGGCGTCTCAAAAAAAAGTTTCATCGTCCCGTCATTGTTTCTGATGTCTTTCTGACCTCACATCATATTTGGTTCTCCTACTGACCTTTGATCTAGTTTGACCTTTGAAATTTGCATGTGACCTCATCTAGCTATGAATTCTGGGAAGTCAATGTGAAAAACATTGCTGCATTCATGCAAGACTGAAATTTATTATTAGACAAATTCATTATAGAAAAAAAACCTGTGGCAAAAACGTTTCTTTCTTTTTTTTTTCTTTTCCTAAAACAGACTTGAAAGTATTATACAGGGATTGGCATTCTTCCCGGTCACTGGTAACAATAGCAATATGTGTCCAGGGACACAGAATGTTGGTTTCTAACAGACTACTTCCAAAAACAGTTTGAGAAAAAAACTGTCTGATTTTAAGTCTCTAGAGGTCTGTAATAGTTTTTACATTTTTCAGGCAGTGTAAAGTTTTTTGATAAGGCCATTTTAGGTGGCTCACTTTCTCATTAAGATATATATATAGAACCACTTTTTGTAGATTAGTATAAGAAAAATATTTACCCTGTTTTGGGGCAAATGCTACCTATTTGTGTCACCTTTTGCTGAACTCACAGTTAGACAATCCATGGTTTAATGCACATGAAATTACCTATATTTTATACTGTTTCAATGTACAGGAGAAAGGTTACTGTAAACTGTGTTATGTTGGTGCTTCTGTGAATTAAGTTGTGGTTTCATCATGAGTCTTAATGTTCTTTGTTGATAAGACAAGTTTAGAATTGGTTTACTTAATACAAAAAAAAAAAAAGAATTTCAAAAAAAAAAGTTGTTTGCTTAAAAAAAATTTCATGTGAGGGAAAAAAAAAAAAACCTATTCCAGAATAAGTTTTGTGTTGGCTTGTGAAGCATTGATGTCATTTTTTTTAATTGTGGACTATTTAGATGTGTTTGTGTTCAGCAAAATGTGATCTGTTTTTTTCTTTTAAAGAAAAAAAGTGAAAATATATAGTGCCAAATTCCAAAGGTACTTCCTTCCTAGAGCTTCAGTGTGTTTCTTGTGAGAAGTAATTTGATAACATGGGTATTTTATTATGTGTTTTGTATAAATCCCTAATATTTAAAAAAACAAAAAACAAAAAAAGGTTAAAAAGTTTGTTAACTTGCTATCCTGTGGTCTTGTTGCCTGAAATTGTTATTGTTTGTTATTTCTCTCTGATGTTTTTTGTAAGACATTGTATAAGTGCCCATGTCCCACTTTTTTAACCACTCCGCACATCAGTGCTGTGAAGGCAACCTCACCATGTATTTTCTTCATAATCTATGGAAACCTCTAAGGTGAGAAAGTTTTGAACTTTTAACCCTTTCTACCCAGAGCTATCTGAAATGTTGATAACTTTTTATACCGTCATGATTTGAGTTTGTTTTGGGGTGTTTCCAATTTGGATTTTTTTCCCCTGCATCTATCCTCTAAGTTGTTTCGGTTTGACTACTTTGTTCTTTGGTTAAGATCCATAAGAAAACAATTCCACGAGGCCAATCTAAAGGGAAAAAATCCTACACTACTTTTGATTATTTCTCATTTTTGGGAACAGAATTCCTAATGTGCTACTAGAATTCCTTCTTCCGTTTTAACGAGTAATTGGATAAAGCCTGAGGGAAAACAGAGGTAGATTCAGCACCTAACAATCCTGTATGCTTTTTAGTGCTATGTCCTAGTCTAGAATATTTTCATATACCTTGCAGTAAAACGACTTTGTGGCAGGACAGTCTTTTGAGGGGTTTTCTGTTTCTTACATACTCCTAAATAATATTTCTAATCAGCCATTAGGCTGGGGCATCTCCAACCCCAGTAGGTACCGCTGAATATACCAGGTGTCTGGAGTTAGAAGCCCATAGCCCTTTCCCAGCCTTTTTGGTTTTTTTAATTGAACACATTTAAAGGGGACTGACCATCTAAGTAAAGCTCAGTTCTTTATCACAATGTACTGACCAAATACCTAGCACCAGTTCCAATACCTAGCACCAGTTCCTGCTGCCACTTTTTAAAGTGCCATACGACTTTTTATGAACAGGTACCTTGCTGTCTTGACAAATCCTAATGTCACGCCTACAGCCCCAACACAAGCTCCAGCCTTCCTCTTCGGCATGCCCTGGAAGCTTCTTGGCCTCAGCTCCCCTTCCCCGCTCAGCACCCTGTTAGGATCAGTGTGTGTGGATGGGATAGCCCTGGGATGGAAAGGACTAGCCTCTACTGATGCAAAAAACAAAAAGCAACACAAACGTTTCCTTCTTATAGCACATGCACTTACAGTGACATGATTTGTATTATCCTCACATGTGTTTACTACTGCTGGGGCCTTCCTTCATCCTCTGAGGGCTATTTTGTACTTCCTGCAGCAATCAGCTTAATAACCGTTATTGCACCTGTCTCTCTCCGAGAACACGGTGTGTCTCGACACACACATGGAAACACAAGAGCCCGCCACTTGAATTTCTAAGACCATTTCATCCTGAAACTCTTTATCAATTACCTAAATCTCAATGAAAAACAATTCTGATTTCTTTCCTGAAGCAGACCCCCCCTCCCCATTTCCCTCTCAACCCACCTGCATGCATCTCCCCCAGAGGAAACACTGAGGGCAGGGGACAGGAGGCTCAGGACGGGCCCTCTGAGTCGAGTGTTCCTTCTTCACAAGTCACCAAAAGAGAGGACATAAGTGGGAAAGTCCTTTTTTGCCCTTCTCCAAAAAACAAACCTTTCACAGAGACAAATTGTCCTTCTATCCACTTTATCTTTTACTATCAAAAGGAAAAAGCTGCAAGGGTGCAAAGGGCCTGTGCCAGAAGAAAACACACACAGGGAAACCGCTTTTTTTAATCAAGTGTAGAGAATAGTCATTTTTAATCTAAATTAGAGAATTGTGATACAATGGCAGTCCTCAAAGGCGTAACGAGTTCATCTTTCTTTCACCATAGGGGTTATAGTTGGCTTGTGCTACTCTGGAATCATTTTACTGTTTGTTTTTATTATCTTAAGTGCTAATTAAAAAAAAATAAAATTTTAAAAAAACCTGTAGTTTCATTACCTTTTTGAATAATGTCATACAAAAAATGTATGTTTTTTTGTGCTGTGAGAATTGATGTTTGTAGATTAATAATCATTTTGTTTAGAATTACAAAATAGTTTTTAAATATCGTCTGAGAAAAGCCAAAGTTAATGCAACCTAGTGGAAACTGTAAGACCATTTGAGTATTGTTTGTTTTATTGATGCATTTGGATTTTGTTGTTTGATGGAATTTGAGCCAAAAAAAACATACGCAGGCTTTCCTATTTCTACAACTGATTGTACTTATGCATTTTGTACCAGTGGAACTTTTTATACTGGAGATTAAAAAAAAAAATGGAAATTTTTGTGGCTTGCTCTGGTGGGCCCCTGACAATGACTGATTTCAAGTTTGATTTTGGGTTGATAGAAAGAAAGTTGCTTTTCTTTTGAGAATTAAAAACTTTGGCTTGATTTCTTTTTTCCCTTTGCTTATACCTAGCATTAGAATTTTGTCTTAAAATAACAGCGGTAAGTTTCACTTTTTATTCTGTATTGTGCAGTTACACAATAAGGTAATTAGATTTAGAAGTACTCAGTCACTTTAAGTGGATAAATGTATTAGTTAAAACTTTAGGGTTTGCTTTTTTGCTGTTTAGATCAAAGTTTTTTCTGATTCTTCTGTCCTCATTGTGAACATAACCGTGTAGTTGAAACAGTCAAACTTATTTTTGTAATGTATGTTATTGTGTGATGCAGTTTTTTGCTTCTGTCTCCAATATTAAACCATTTTCCTAATACTTGTTTCTCTCTCTGCGTGTTGTATTGTTGGTAGTCATTATATGTTGGTGATACATCTGCACACCTCACTGTTTCACGTATCTGTTTTTTTCTCTATGTTGTGTAAAAAGATACAGTCGATTCCACTTAAGTGAATATCTGATTTGGTAAAGAGGAAACTGCACACCAGCCACCTTTGATTTATGTACAACCGCCCACGTGAACTTCTGCTTCCAAGATTTATACACTTTTTTCCTACAGTTCACCTCAGTAACTGCCTTCGGGGTTGGATTTGCCAAGGTGTTTTACGGTCTTTTGACCACACAGGTTAATTTCCCCTTCTCTCCCCACCCTCATGAGTCTATCCACACAGTTCTTAACATACATTCCAAACTGCTGCTGGGGTTTCCTCTCTACACCCACGAGGCCAAACCCACATCATTACAGTCCTACTCTTCGTAGACACTAATCACCTTTCTAAAAGAGGTGAGTTCTCCAGGGAAGAAAAATAAACTTAGCCGGTGAAAAGGGTTAAACTTAAGTCTATTTGTTGCCATCAGTCAAAAGATATGTATAGAAAAGTCATTTAAATTATTTATTTCTACAAGCTAATTGAATCCAGGAGCAGCTTTAATTATTAACACTAACGGAAGAGAAAAGAAGTATTTCCAAGGGCTCAAATGGAAGCTGTCCTCAGTCCGGTGGAGGCAGGGGGAGGTAAAGTTTCTCACACTCAAGTCGTCTTCATAGTTTACTGTCCTTTTCCAAACAAAAGCTAATAATGCCATACGCATCCACACACTCCCTCCTGGATGAACCTAAGTCTCGTCCCCACTGTCACCCCAAGGCCAGTTATCAAAAACTGTTCCTTCTCTGCCCTCAAAGACTGAAGCCGCAGGCCCTGTTCTGCCTCTGCTCAGGAATCTGATTGCTCTTAAAGTGCTCTTACAAGATTCCGTCGATGTTTGCTCCCTCTGTCTTATCTCTCCTTCCAGTATTTTCAGACGCACAAGCTCTGACTCAGGCCACCCAGCACCTGGCAGCCTTCCTCTGGGTGCCAGTGAAATCTCTCCCAGTAGGTGCTCAGGCTCTTCACCCTCTCGTTGCAGCAGCCCCTCTGGCCCGAGATTGTATTTTCTAGTCTGCTCAACAACAGAGGGGCCTGGCGAGGTGGAGGAAGGGAGGCTCCCTCCCCGGGGCTGGCCGCCTCAGCGATGGTGATGCCACCAGCTCCAGCCTGCACGGATGGAGCTCACTTCCTGCCACCACTTCTGCTTTCAGTCTCCTCATAGCCTTCGGCAGTCTCCTCTGAAAACACACTGCCTATGTAGTGGGAAAGGATGGCTAAGGGTGTGAATTCTTTTTATTAGGGAGGTGGGAGGGGATGTTGGGAGGTATGGGGGGTGATTAAATTATTTCCAAGGTGCAAGTGTTTATTTTTCAAACCTATAAGTACATAGATCCACCATTTTGGCACAAGACAAAATACTCATGCTAAGCAAAGGAAGAGAAAGACAAAGCCAGTTTTTGTTGCTTTTCTAAAGCAACAAATAATTCTCCAAAGAAGGGGATGAAAATGCTAGTTCCTTTAAGCACTTATGACTATCAAGTTGGTCCCTGCTTAAATTCATACCCATAGTTTTGAGTCGGTATGACCCCGCTGCAGTGTGAGCAAGGTGAATCCGTGTGCCATGCAAGGACCACCTTGGGATACTGCAGCACCATCAACATCTGCCTTGCTGATGGAAGCCACACACGCTGCCCAGCCCACAGCAGTTGCACGCACCCGATGGGCTCGGACTCTTAGCTGGCAGGCTAGGACACACAGTGAACATAAATGTACTGTGAATCGTTCCTGATAAGTGAATAAAACATTGTGACCAAACAATCAGCTTATTCACTTATCAGGAATCGACTGTTCTGCTAATTTGCTGTTGTTGTTTTTCATCTCTGTTGTAGTTCACTATTTTTGCTGTGTTCTGTTCTCTCATGCTTGGGCAAATCACTGGGAATATTATCTTCATGTGACCATGAAACGTTTCTATTGAGTGAAAATGATATCTTAACAAAATCTATGCACTTGCTATCAGGAACACAATACTGGATGTGTCTTATATATATTGAACTATATAGTACTCGATTTCTTAAATAAAGCTTAAGAAAGGACTTGTGTGTAAAGTTAATGTGATTATTTTTCAAAGCAGTGTTTCTAAGGGGTATTTTTGTTCTTTTAAGTCTTGAGTGATACAGGATATTTTTCATTAAAATTATATCACTGGCTTTATGACTTAATATTCAATAAATTGACTTTGGAAACAAAAGTTCTCCGGAGTGCATTTGAGCCAAGAGACCTCTGGAAGTCCACCCCCTGCCTCATGACCACGGCGAGTCTCTACCCACGCACCGTGGGGGGCAGAACAGAGCAGTCCCTTCATGGCCAAAAAGCCCACTAGGAGGCACCCAGAGTCCGCCCCAACCTACAAAACCCGACTGCCTTCCTGGATGTGATCTCTTTAGGCCCAGAAGAAAGGGGACCAAAGAGAAAGGCAGATCCAGGAATAATGCTGGTTTGTGTCAATACTTTGCCAGAATGATGTGGCAGTGAAAGCATGCCCTGCTGGAGAACAATAGCCACCCTATTCAGGACCGCAGAATGAGAGGCAGCAAGAGAAGGCATTTGATCATGCAGGATGAGAAGGGTAATGTTTCAAAGCGCTATGTGAGAGAGAGGCATCCTATAACAGTTGCAGCGCTTAAACGGGAGGCCTGCTGCTTGGCCCTTTGAAGGAATATTTTTGAAATTTTTCTGCAGGCCATAAGTTTGAACAGAATGGCATTTTCTGTTGGATTCCTTTTTTGCTTCAGGGTTTTATGTTGGATTTGTTTTTCTAGCTTAATGTTTGATTCTGAGAAAAACTCCTGAACTTCTACTTGCAAAATGGCACAAGCATCCTGATCCTTTATGAAGCAAATCTTATTCATCCCTGGCAATGAGGCACAGAAAGAGCAGCTAATGAAAACCCACAGATAATCCAGAATAATTCTTCCATTCTCTGCCTCCTCCCACCACAAACCTCCTCCTATTCATAAATTTCTCACAAAAAGAGAAGCTTCTAATGAAAGTGAGGGAGCAGAGAAAGAGCCAAGAAGCAGGAAAAGGCAGCCAAAGCCAAGGGCCTGGAGAGGGGGCACCTGCTGGTGCTGCGCAGCCACCTGGGAAGCGCTTAACATTGGGAGACCCACGGTCCGTGAGACCTGGGCGCGGGTGCTGCCTGCCTGTGAGGAGCCCTTCACAGTCCTCCCTTGCCAGTCAGGCACCCAGCTAGAACACACCCCTTCTGTAAAGGGCACACAGCCGAGGGCATCATGGGTAGGAGGGCACTGAGTCAGGGAAGGAGGAATAAAACCAACACGTTCCCCTGTTGGTGTGCAGCCCTGATTCCAGAGTCCCCCATGTCTCCCTAAGCAGGGGCTGCCCGCTGGGAGACCAGCACAGAGTGACAGGTCGAGGCAGCTGGAAGTCATCTGCCGGGCAGGAGCTGCTTTCTGAGGAACACTCCATGTCTTGTAACCTGTCTCTACTGGTCAGCAAAGCACCCTGGCACCAGCTTCCACGTGCCTGCATCAGGAGGGTGTTTAATACAAACTACACACACACAGTGTTCTCCAACTGGTCACTTACAGCAGAAGCCGCACATAAGAATCCCCGGTTGTGAGACACTGGAGGATCCTTCTCTCATGAAGCTGCTGTGCCCTGTATAGAAAGTTCTCAGGTGCATTCTCTGGGAGGCCAGACTGCCTCAATGTGAATGCCAGCTCTACCACTAATTACCCAGGGAACCTCTGTGCCTGAATTTCCTCATTAGCACAAGGAGAGTAAAAATAATACCTAACGCATGGGGTTGTCATGAGGATCAACTAAGCCAATACACGGAAAATGATGTGCTTAGGGTCCACGGCACTGTGAACACGAGGCCGGGCTGCAGGTGAATCGCAACAGCCACACCTACAGACAGGGCAGCTGAACTCACCTCTACTGGCCTGGCCTCTCACCTTCTCCCAGCAGGTGTCCGCTTAGCCACCTGCAGAGAGCCCCACAGAGCTCCCTGGGTTCCCTGGGGAACTACAGGCATGGTCTGACCAGAAAGTACAGTTCTTCCAGCAGAGCTCTCTGCACTGACAAGTCCCAGAACAGGCCTTTCCTCTTCAGAGACACTGGCCACTCTAGTGGCACCTTCCCTTACAGGCTCACACACCACACAGCTCCAGGAAGTCACCAACTCATCCCACACTAGGAAAAGGAAATGATTCCGCACTCAAATCCACCCCTTCCTACCTGTATTATATTTAGGCATCACTTCCCCAAAAGAAAAGCCTAGCTGTCCAGTTTGAGTCCAAGGCAGGAATGACAAGGTCACCTGTAGATTTGTCTATAACAAGCCTGTAGGTTCCAGGCCCTTCCAAGGCAAAGTGGTGCTCAACAGCAACCTGAATGGGTGTATGACCACCTCAGGGACAGCAGCAGAAGTCGGACTTCTGAAACAAGGGCAGGCACACAGATGCGGCCAGGCAGAGAGCACCCAACCCCCACCCCCCATCCTCACTCTGCTCCCAATTCACCACAGGCACTATGCTTTTGTTTTCGTTCTTTGGTGATCCATGCAGAAGTTTAGAAAAATTATTTTGCTATTAAAAGCACAAAAATGAAAAGTAATTGCTTTAGCAGAGGGTGACTCTTAAGAGAGACTCGCCATTACCTAAGCCCTGTGGCAAACTGTTACGGTCTCCAGAGTCATTCTCCCCTTCCCTCCTCTCTCCACCCCTTTCTAGCTTCCCGCACTCTTTGCGATGCAGCAGAACATTCGCTATATATGGTGTGCTGTTTCCATGTCACATGTGTCTGTCTCCTCAGCTAGACCATGAGCTCTCTGAAGGAAGTGACTGTGTCTCATCCATCACTGGATCCCCCGTGCCTTGCACCGTAACTGCCATCTAGTCAGGGTTCAAACATGCTGGCTGGCTGAGGAGACTCCGGGAAGCAGCAGTGAGCATGCCGGGGCTGGGGACAAGCCTTCCTTATTCAATTGTGGATGGGCTCAGGAGGGTGGAAACTAGAGACCTCCTGGCGAAAGTCAGGAGCCACAATGGCAGGGGGCCGAGGGCGCGAGTGGGAACGAGGGAGAACCACTGCGGCGAGCCCCCTATGCAGGCTCTACCTGGTGGCCCCAAAGCTCCTCAGCTAAGAGGCCCCAAATGGAAGACTTGCCTGCTATGAGGTCAAGCCACCTCAGATGTCCCGTCATCTCTTTCTGCACCCACTCGGGAACATTTTCTATCTAGGGACTGCCCCTCAACAGAAGTTTAACATCTCAGAGATCAGAAGGGCCCTAGAACTAAGTCCACATGAACAGAAACCGTGGAGACAGGGGCCTGACTCAGGCATTCCTGAGAAGCGGATCCGCTCCCTTTCCCCCATCTCCCGCAGCAGCTCCTGTTGGGCCTGGCAAGTGAGTGCCTGGGGCAGGATGGGGCCGACACCAGCTCCCGCCCTACACAGCACAACCGAGCCATTCAAACGGACTTGGACAGGCGCAAGGTCCCTGCTGCTTCAGGGATGCCATTTGGCGGCAGGCATGCAGGACACGGGCTTGGATCCTACTTCTGTGTCCCAACACATCAATAGCTACCACGGAGCGAGGGTGTACACCACTAATCATTCATTTGTCCAAAACACGCATTAAAGAGCTACCCTATGGCAGGCATTCCGGTAGGGCCGTGGGTACAGACAGTTAACACGTCATACCCCTCCCTCTAAGAGTTTGGCCATAATTAGCTTCTCTGCCAAATAAGGGAAAATAGGTAAGCAAGTGGATGGTCCAGGCAAACCTCTCTCCCTGCACAGCAGACACTGCATCCCAGGGCACCCACACAGATTACGTGCTCAGAGAGACAGTTCTGTGGGACTCTCTGCCTTAGCTGAGCTCACCGTTGCTCAGACTCACCATCGCCCTGCTGGAGCTTAAACGGCTGTCCTGGGGGAGGATGAAAGACAGTGGGAGACAGGGCAAGAAGCTCCCTAAAGCTTCTACACAACAATGTCTCCACTGAGGCCGGAGCTGACCAAAGCGGCCCAAGTGCTCCAGAGTCACGCTTCCCAACCACCCAACTATGACACATTCTTCCCCGTCTACAAAATGGGATCCAACCAACAGCTTCACACCTTTAAAAACTATGAACTGAAACAAATGCTGGGCGCCTTCCCCTCAAGGAACACAATGAGGCTGGGTAGGTGGGTAGGGGAGATGTAAGGGAGGACAGGGCCTCTGTGGGCCTGAGGGGCAGGGCTCTGGCAAGAGAAGAATGCTCTGCTGAGCTGACGCTGCAGTCACCACCCACCTGGAGCTCCACGACCCCATGCCCCGCCAGCCCAGCTCTGCCCGCTTTCTATCCCCTACTGACTGCATCCCCCCGGAGGTGCCCCTTCAGCCTCTCCCACAGTGTCAGCACATCACCATTCGCAGCCTCAACCTCTGCCCAGTAGCAATAAAATGTTGGTACCCACTTGCCTGCCTTCCCTGGCACACAACGCTCTGCAGAGCAGGTGTCAGAGAAGGGGAGGTTCCCAACTCAACTCCCCTGGCCCTGAGAGGAGAGGGCCAGGCAAGCAGCCCCTCAGGTTGGCCAGACAAGGAAATATTGGTGACCTGTCATTCATGAACGTGATTATAAATATATGTCATACCCCTCTATAATTAAAACCATCCAGGTTAAAATTTGAATAATTCACAAACTTACAGTGTGGTATGAATTTGGAAACATTGATCTCAAGTTATGTTTTCCAAATTCTATTCTACAGACATTACCCTGCAAGATAATCTATGGGAAAAATAAGTTCGGCAGCCAAGAAGGTGTGAGGAGTGCTGTTAACCCAATCCTCCTGGAAGCTGCCCATGTGCAGTCACTTAGGAAAGCTCTGGGACAGCTCTGCACCCTGCAGCAAAGACCTACCTAGTTCACCTTGTTCAGCCCAGTGCAAGGTGTGCTTTCATTTCTTGAAACTCTCATCCTATGATACCTATTAACCAGAGAGGTGATGCGGTGCGGTAGGGAAGCACGCGGACTTTGGAACAAGGCTGCCTGGGTTGACTGTGGCTCTGCCACTTACTAGCTTGAACCTTGAGCAAGTTCCTCAATTTTATCTGTGAAACACAGGACACCAACAGCCGCACCTACCTATGTGCAAACTATTCCTAACAGCATTTATAACACAACAAGCTCTAGAGAGGTGTTTATGAACAGCCAGCAGAACTAGTGTTCTAAGACACACGTTGGGAAACACTAATAGAGAATTGGAAGCCCTATAGAATTCTAGAGATGTCATCTCTCCATAAGATTACAGACTGGTAGGGGAAAGGGTATGTAATTATGACTCAACATGTTAAGTCACGACCAAGGAGTATGTGCGGACTTTGGAACCCAAAGAAGGGAAGGAACTGCATTTCTAATGGTGAGGAAGGTTATAGGAAAGAATCTACAGCCAAATTGACAGAATTGACAGGAATCCCAAAACATGAGCAGGATTTCACCAAGCAGAAAAGTAGAGGATGACTGTGGCAAATAAAAAGTAGGTGCACAGTATGGCTGGGGACAGCGAGAAACCCAATTTGACTAGAGTGGACAGGAGCCGGAAGACGGGACGACGCACTTCACTGGAAACACGCTGACGCTAGGTTGTTACAGGCCCCGGCTTCCAAATTAGGGAGCTTGGGACCTCAGTCTACAGGAAATTAGGAGCACCAACGTCAAAAACAACCAGCCAACCAAGGAAGGATCAGAGTCGCAAGTGAACTGAGTAGAAGAGGAACAGACTAGGGGCAAGGAGACATGTTTCAAGGAAATTAAACCAGTTCAGGTAAGCAGAGATGAAAGAGGCAATTAGACCAGAGAAGGGGAAAAAGGGCTGAGAGGTATTTCAAACACAGCAAAATATTGGGTGTGACATTTAGAGAAAGCTTAGATATGACCCCCCCCAAAAAAAATGGGGGATGAGGCAGCATTCGGAGTGGGTAATGGAGAAAACCACGGCTGTAGCAAAGGTCCTCGAGATGGACACAGCAGTAGCAGCAGCATGTCCTGGGAAGCGGTGGGTGATAACTTGGGCTCATGTCAGGTTCAAATTCATCCTGGTCTTCTTCCCAGGTGGGGCCAGCTAAGATGTGGGCAATTTGAGTAACTGGGCGGGAAGCAGTTATGGGAATGCTGGGCCCGCCCTGCAAGACTGTCACAGCGGGAAAGGGCTTGGACCGAGCATCACTTCCAGTAAGATCCAGGCTGATGGCATTTTATTTCTCCCCTCCCAGAAAGGACTCCACAGGAATACTCTGGATGAGCTGAGCCATTAACTTTGGGAGTCCAGATCCCTTTCAGGAGCCCATTTTGCGCCCCGGAGACCTTCCTCCTCTTCCCCACTTGCTGACAGAAGCCTGGGATGTCTATCCAAAGGAGACGGTTTAGTCCTTTCTCTCTCTTCCACACGGGCCACAAAACTGCCAAGCTCCATCTGCACCCATGAAACTACATTGTGACATGGCCACTTGACATGAGAATATAGTGACATAGCCAAATGTATAGGCTAGTGTGTTTTCAACATTTATTTTCTTACCAGCAATGATGCTCAAATACTCTCACCCTATCTCTAATGCCCCTCACGCTCTTAATCACATCCTCAGCCTAATCGCATCCTTGGGCTTCACTCAGGGATAAGGATAAAGTTCAGGGATGCATTTTGGGCCAGCAAAGTCCACTGTACACATTACACGAAAATTTAAAAAAAAAAAAAAAAAATTCTTTTTTCTTGTTGTCCTATGTCAGGTTGGCTGCAACAAAACCAAAACAAAATTTCCTACCCCAAGCTGTGATTCTTTCCATCTCCACCTGGGTCAGCCAAATCTCCAGATAGTATTAGCTCATCTAATTAGCTGCCTTTCCTCTCTTGCAGCTGAAAACCACACCCAGAGCTCATCAGTCATGTCCGGCCCTGTGTGAAAGCCCCGTTCTCTTCCTGCTGACGTTCCACTTTGAAGCTAATTGCCCTGGCCAAGAACCCACACCTGCCAGTGTGACGCTGAAGTACACTACTACCTGGTGTTTTGCCCGCCAGCTCCGGGCATCCAGGCGTTTCCTGGTCAACTGCTGGAGACACCTGAGCACCACCCTGTGCCAGCTGCAGGGCCCAGACCAGTGTTGTGCCACCTCGCTCTCTCAGGCTGCACCTGCCATCCGCTATGATCCTCAAAACCGAGAAGGGCTCTCTGCTCCAAAAACTTCCTTCCTAACAAGCTCCACTGATAAATTAAAGGCTTCATTCCCCCATCAGATAAAAGGCTAAAACGCAATGAATGATCCCAGAAAAAGTTAAATAACCGTTCCACCTGGAAACTTGAACGGCCCTTCTTGGCAAGGTGATTTTAATCAAACAGAATTAGGAGACACAGAGAGCCTGGAAGAGGCAAGTGGGAGGATGTGGTCGGGGACTGCCCAGAGACAAATCACTTCTACCACCGCTGGCATATGGCGCCTTTGCTATGTGCCAGGCACGGCGCTGGATGGGCTCTTTGTGCATTATCTCATTTACGCAGCAGCGTGACCCAGTGAAGTGAGCATTATTTCCATTTCGTAGGAGAGCAAACGAGTTCAGATGTGAAGTATCGGTCTAAGGCCAAACAGCCACTAATCGGCATAGCATAAGCGTTACGTTCCACAAGTTCCCTGACGGCCATCTGGGCGCACAGGTGGTAACAGCCTGGGTCATCCCACTCCCATTGGATGCGCCCTGGTAGCGACCGGGGCACAGTCCACTTGGCAAGGAGGCTCCCCCATGGGCGCAGGACACGGGGCAGGGCTGGTCACAGCCATTAGTTCGTTGACCTTGGCCTCAAATGCTAGCTGCAACCCCCGTGAGCCGGGGATACCCTGGCGGAGTGCATGCACGCGTCGTGGCCTCCCCGTGCTAGCCGGGCGCGCGTGACTGTCTAATGGGGCCGGCGCCAGCGTCCCACACCGCGAACTCAGACGAGCGAGGACAGAAATGGTTTCTCCACTCACAACCACTCCTTTGCACTCACATTCCGTCGGTTTCGGTGTCCCCGGGCTGGGACATTAGGTTCCGCAGGCCTGGCCCTAAGCGTCGGCGGGAGGTGGGGGAGTGGGGCGCGGGGAGTGCGTGGCTTACCTGGCGTTAGATTGGGATCCCGCGCGGCCGGCTCCCTCTTCCCCTTCACGGCAACGTCCTAGTGCTGCTTCTCGGTGGGTCGGCCCTAGCCCCTACCCTTGACCCTCGACCCCGGCAGAGGTGGCGTTGGTCCCACCGCACCTACGGGCGCCCCTCGAGGACAGCACACGCCTGCTTCCGGCCTGGAGCACCTGCTAGGCCGCGAGGAACTCTGGGACATCCGGTTGCTGGCGCGCAGCTCTCTGGGACCAGACGCAGGTGAGGTGGAGTGGGCGGAACCGCTCAAAGCCGTGCTCACGTCCTGCGCCCACGCCCTGGCTGCCGGCACCTGCGGAGTCTCTTGCCCTCTATCCCTCTTGCTGCAGCTGAGCAAAGAGAGGGGCAGAGAGCAGCTACGGTCACCATAGCCACTTTCTAACGCACTCCAGAACTTTTCCCATCCCAGGCAGAAAAATAAAACCCAGCAAGAATTCTTTCCACTATTTCCTGTTCTACACTAGACCACAATTCTTAAACTTGGAAGCCAAGCATTTAGTCCTTCGGATTTTTTGGTCTTTTTGGTTTCACCCTCCTTTGGGGTAGAGGTGCCAGAGAAAATACCGGACGCTCAGTCGCAGGAAAACAATAAACGTAAATATTGTCCATGCAATATTTGGGACATACTGAAACGGTTGTTTATCTGTTATTTTTAAATTTATCTAGGCATCCTCTGGTTTTACTTGCTAAATCTGGCAACCCTACTTTGGGGAAACAGAGGCCACTTCTGGTATCCTCAATCAGGGTAGTGTCACCGAGTAGAAGGCATGTGTTTGTCCCTGGGAGGTAAGTAATTACCTTGATAGTTCACGATCATCTCCTCACATGCCAAAAAAGGCATCCCTCCCATGAACGTTTTTAAAGGGAGCATAATAGGGTCATTTTATTAACAAACCCATGGAGTTTTATCTTCTCAAGTATTTATTTGGAACAAATAAAGCTGTCATATATTACATAAGATAGAATGCACATGTTTCTGTAAATAGCATTGATGCAGCGCAGGCAAGTCCCAGAACTGCTTGACTTTGTCCAGGAAAGAATTCAAGAGTGAGCCCCTGGTGTTAGCAATCTATTATTGAACCGCACTGCTCCCTCCTTGCCAGGCTAACTCACAGGCAGTGTGCCCAGAGCCGCACTTGTGGGCTCTTGGCAACTGCATTTATATCCACTTGTGCCCACTTTCAATCACATGCAAATTGAGGGTTGGGTTATTCAGAACTTTCTAGGAAAGAGGAAATAACTTCCGAGTCACTGCCTTGTAGGTAGCTTCCTGTTGTTGCCATGGCATTGGTAAACTGAAATGGCACTGATGGGAGTATCTTACGTGAATGAGCAATGAGGGCAGCCAGGCACCTGGTTTTGTCACCATCTGCTGGTTCCTGCTGGTTTTTTCACTTCATCCTGTGGGGATAGGGAGGTAAGTCCTGTTGGTCTCCTCTCTCATTTCCCTCTCAAAGATTAGATATTGCTCTTTACTCTTAAGGGGACAGCAGAAGAACAGAGGTCTTTCTTCTGTAACTGCTTCTTCCTGATTTTATGGGCATAGGCCCTGCCTAGTGTTGGAGGAGTAAAATCTCTGGACCTGATCTAAGGGGCCCCATGGCAGGATGTTTGTATTCTCTGAGTCAGACGACTGGATGGGTGGGAAGCCTTGTGCAGCATCATCTTCACGTGGAATTGTTGTAGTCTAGAAGACACAGACTTTACTAAGAAGTTAAACAGCAGTCAGGAGCAGTGGCTCATGCCTATAATCCCAGCACTTTGGGAAGCCAAGACACATGGATCACCTGAGGTCAGGAGTTCGAGACCAGCCTGACCAACATGGAGAAACCCCATCTCTACTAAAATACAAAATTAGCCGGGCGTGGTGGTGCATGCCTATAATCCCAGCTACTCAAGAGGCTGAGGCAGGAGAATCGCTTGAACCCAGGAGGCACAAGTTGCGATGAGCCGAGATCGCACCATTGAACTCCAGCCTGGGCAACAAGAGTGAAACTCTATCTCAGGAAAAAAAAAAAAAAAGAAGTTAAGCAAGGGTCAAAAATTAGTAATAATAAAATAGCTGTCAGAGGTCTTAGGAAAGGTAAAAAAAAAAAAAAGTGAGAATAATAGGTGTGGTTTATTATTGCACACACTCTTCCTTGTCATGTTATTTGTGCATTTGTGAAACAGCAGCTTTAAGTTTTCTAGGGGTTCACAAGTGTGAGTCATGGTGTCCTCCTCTTATACCTGTGGGGACTTAAGAGAAACAGGTTTCATCCCGGACAGGTATACCCAGCTAGTGATTCCCTGAAGTTTAATAGCAGTGAGGACACTTTACAATACCTGATAAGTGGTCATTGATCCAGTGGTGAGGGAGTCCTTTTTTAAAAATTTTCAGTAAGGCAAAGCTGCTGGTTGAATAGGGGAAGCTGTTCTTTTCCTCGGTGGGAAAGGGCTATCTTTTATTTTCATTATGTTGAAAGACCATTTGCAGCTTGCCTAAATTTCAAGGGGAGGCACAGTGAGGCATGTCCAACCCCCTATTTCCTGTCATTGCCTGAGTTGTTCAGGTTTCTTTGGGATTCTCTTTGGCCAAGGGATTTACAGCCAACTAAACATTCTAGGCCAAACAGGAATGGAGGTAGGTAGGCATTCATTAGCCCTTAAAACCCTTTTAAGCAATATAAGAGTCAAAACCTAAAAGCCAAAAATAAGCTTATACATCAAGGAAAAACGAAGACTACAGATTCAAGTTATACCAGGGGAAAACATTGCTTGTAAAGGCCAGTAAGATAAAATATTTTAGCATCAGGCCATAACAACAGTGGGAACCAGAGGAAACAATATTAAAGGCACTGATGAAAAAGCTAACGGAGACAGTTATCATTGCAGGCCTTCTCAAACAGGGACAGCACCAAAAGCAGCCTGACACAACAGTTGAACTTTTGAGTTAGGAATCTGTATTAGTCCGTTTTCATGCTACCGATAAAGACATACCCAAGACTGGGCAATTTACCAAAGAAAGAGGTTTAATGGACTTACAGTTCCACGTGGCTGGGGAGGCCTCACAATCATGGTGGAAGGCAAGGAGGAGCAAGTCACACCTTACATGGATGGCAGCAGGTAAAAAGACAGCTTGTGCAGGGAAACTCCCGTTTTTAAAACTGCCAGATCTCATGAGACTTATTCACTATCACGGGAACAGCACAGGAAAGACCCACCCCCATGATTCAATTACCTCCCACTGGGCTCCTCCCGTGACATGTCGGAACTGTGGGAGCTACAATTCAAGATTTGATGGGGGACATGGCCTAAACATATCAGAATCTGTGAAGTTTTTCAAAGAAACAAGTTATAGAATTGAAAAGCAAACATTTTTGTAATTTTATTAACAGCAAATCTATACCTTAGGAAAATCTTGTTTTAACATGGGACCGTTCTCTAGAAAGACTATTAGAAACAATTCTCTTTTAATGACAGCCAGATTAATTACACACAAAATTCCTTTATAAATTCCCCTTTACGAACCTTATCACAACTTAGACCACCTCTGACACGCTTGGACTCTCTGGCTTGTCTAATACTACAGCTTATTTAAATAATCAGTCATTCTGCCCTAGGACAAGAATTTATCATGTAAGATCTTTTTTATAGAAAATTACTCTTTAATATCCTTCCTTACCAATAACTTTTTTTTACATGTCTCTTTTCTACTTACTGGTGTCTTTATATTTTGAACTTCCTTTTTAATAACTTCTGACTTAGACGAAAACTATTCTTTTTCCCAATAAAGGATACATCTTCTTTGGCATATTTTATATAAACCTAGGAAGCAAGGAATCCTAAACTGTCTATCAGATATTGAGACTTTATAGATAAGGAACCATTCCATAATTTTAAGACTTTAAACCACACAAAAAGCTCATCATTTAAAGCCATTTTAATCATTCTAAAGCCTACAAATATCAGTGGTTTACCTAGATAAAAATTTTAAAGTTAAATTTTAGAAGATGCAATATTCCCTTTAAACTAACAAGTTTAGATTAGTCTTATGTGTTTAATTTATGAGCGATCTTTTACTTATAAGCCAATTTGATAGCACACTAGACACAACACACATCACACAAAGTGACCTATCCAAGACCGCTGGATCCAAGTTATTTGCAACATTGGGTCCTGTCTACCTGGCCAAATTTTGTTTGCCCTGATAGGTATGGAAAACAGGGAGAGTCGAGGAGGGGGATCCCCTAGAAGGGAGGGAGCAAACCCCATTGCTCAAGGGGAGATCTGAGCCAGCAGACAGTCCACTCAGCAGCAGACACCAAAGAGAAGCATTCAGTTGACCACTTGTCTACCACAGAGGGAAAATGTCTGCCAGTCAGGTCAAGGGCCCAGGACCCCCAATAATTTTACTTGAGCAAGGCAGCTGGTTGGGAGCGAATGGAAGAAGGTTAGCTCTAGTATTGATGGGTCGCTTTCTCCCTACCCTCTTTCACCAGGATGGTTAGAACATTCTCATTGACAATGGCCCTCTTGCTTATAGTAGGCACGCTGATTCCAGCCCAGGGACCAGCCAGTCAGGGGCTTTCATCTGGGTATCCCAGATGCTGATCTCGTGATACTTTCTTGGGATAGGTAACCCTGAGGGGGCTATCTTAATGCTTTAACCCTGAGATGGTTTAAAGCATTCACTAGCAATTGTGCTTTTTGACTATTTCTTTTGGGTCTCTCTGCCCACTTTGCCCTGTCCCTATTGTAAACTCTAAGGACCAAGTTCAAGAGTTGGCTTATCGGGGTTTGGGGTCCCACTGCTGCTTTTTATAGCTTCCTTCTAATGTCAGAGGCAGACTGAGTCATAAAATGCATACCCAAGACAGCTTCCCCTTCTGGGGTGTCTGGATTTACCTTAGTATATTTCCTGAGTGCCTCAACCAAACAGCCCTGAAACAGAATGGGATTTTCATTTTTTCCCTAAGTTACTTCGTTAACATTGTTAGGATTAACTGGCTTAACCACACACCTTTTTCTCTGCTGCTTCTCTGCAGCACAGAAAGTGGATGACAATACTTACAAATCATGCCAAGTTAAATCAAAGAACATGGTCAATTTAATAAACTCTTCTATAAACTCTCCTG